CCCATATGACACAAAAATAACCTATATTAAGGTTAAAAAAAACACAATATTTCTTCACAATAAAATCTAAGAGATAGAAGACAATTGATGAATAGTAGAGAAAATATGGCAAAGAAATTATAGATTCTTCATGTTTAGTAAGTACTGTACTAACTAAACAGTGTAAAAGTAATTCTAAGCTTTTCTGTTCATGTTTCTTTTTGGGTTGATGAGGCACTTTGGCCTTAACTTTGCTTGACTCTGTACCGGCTCTGTGCACCTTTGTCAAATCGAAAAGTCCATGTGCAGGAATGTTCGTCTTCATTAGAAGATGTGAGAAAGAGACGAAGGACAATACAAGGAAAAGGAGGCAAGGTCAATTGAAGGGGCTGGCTGGCTAGCTGTACCTTATCTAATCAATGGAGAGATCTCACACCCCTTATCTTTTGTCGAAGTAACATGCAAATTAATGCTTGTGCGCATGGTTCATGCGAATGCTTTGAATATATGCCATGCCTTGAACTAAGATGTTTAAAATGCTCGAGAGTAAATTCTAATTTAATTCCTATGTTTTTTTTTAATAATTTTGTAAGTTAGTTCCTGCTGTTTTGAAAATCATAAGTTGGTTTCTTGACCGCAACTAGCTGTTATTTATTCTTTATAATTTCTAAATTTTCCTTTAAGAATGCAATTTTAATTTTTCAAATTTGAATACCAAGGAAAGATATTTTAGAGAAAACAAAGTTAATTTTTCAAGAAAAACCACTAGTTGAAAGAACCAAGTTAGTAATAAATATAAAAAAAAATATAGGATTCAACATTGGATTTTTTTTCAACCAAAGGGATCAGCTAATCATTTCACTAAAAATACAGAGAGATCAAATTAATAAAGATTTATTCAATATTTGAAGAATGATTTATCCCATTGGCAGTTCATCATGCATCTCCCTCAAGAGGTGGACGTATCAAGGAGGGTCAGATCCAGCATTAAATTAATGGTGGCCTTTTGTTGGGGTGGTGGGAAGCAGATGCAGCTGAGATAGGGACAAGTTACTCATTCGAGTCCACATCTAAGAAACTACATAGCAAACACCCCATTGTTTTGTTCTGAGTTTCAAATTGCAGGAAGTAAAACATTTGTGGTATAAGATAAATACAGCAACGCAACGTTAATAACTTTAAAATAAAGAAATATTTTTATTAAGTGTTTTCTCTATATTTTTACATGGTTTTGTTTTTGTATCACTTTTAGTAATATTAAATTACAAGTTTTTTTATAAACATAAAATTTTAAATAATTAAAGAATTAAATTAATACAAAAAAAATCTAATCTGAACAGAAATTGTATTCTGTCAACTGATGCCGTCAACCGTCTTTAAATTGATTAACCAATTCATTTAATCTAACCGGTGAACCAATTCCTCTATTCTTTGGAAAAACTTCATGAATCCAGCCTCATCCTGCCATGGGGAAGAATAGTGTTTGGGAGAAACAGATAACGTTCTTTTCCAAGGAAGTCTGCCAAATTTAACACAGTCCATTACCGCGGGGACGAGAGAGTGAAAGTCGCTTAGAACTTGCTATGCTAAATGATTTCTGGGGTAATTATCCTTCTTCTACCCAAAAAAGAAGGCAACTAGTCAATCCTTTCTGCTACATGGAATAAAGGAAGGGATTTCAATGTACTCCCCACATGCTTGAACATTGTTGCAGACACCATGTATTTCTCCGAAAAGTGGAGGAAAAGAATACTTTTTTTTTTTTATTAAATTAACGTTGTTATTCATTTTAGTTTACATACAGCATAACTAGCTCATAAACCTATAATTAACGATTATATAAGTCTTTAATAATTATATAAATTTTTAATAATCATCATATAAATATAAAATTATAAAAAAAAAACTTTTTAATTTTAAATTTATATAACTTCACCCACATCTAAAATCTAAATGGTTGAAGAAAGAGAATACTTGATACGCCAAGCAAGCACCCGAAGCAACAGGGACATTTAAGATTTCTTTTTCTGCCTCATGCTTGAAAAATAACTGTACCTTTTGTCCCTGTACATAATAATCTTTAGCCATATCTTTAAGCTAGCCTAATATATATCATTAGGCTACCCTAAATGTTAATGAGTAAACTCTCTGTCTCCTCTAGAACACTTTTCTTTTGTATTTGTCTAAGATTTGTTGTACTATAGGTCTGAATTTCTATGCTCGTGTCTCTTTTCGGTGAACTAAAATATGTCTCGAGGTTGAGGTTGAAAATGAGCGTTTATGGGTTGTTGGTAACTGTGGCTTTAATTATTTTTAAAATTTTTGTTTTCAGAAAAGTTTAAAAATAATATATTTTTTTTATTTTTTAAAAATTTATTTTTTGATATCCGCATATTAAAACAATTCAAAAATATTAATTTAAAATAAAAAAATTAAATTTTAATAAAAAAAATATATTAAAACTCACTGTCAAACACATGTTACATGTGTTTGGAAGCCAAATCAAGGGCCCTCCATTTTTTCGATACTTTGCAGGGACAACGGGTCAATGACTTTGTTCCGGCTAGGTTTGGCAAGCCCAAGCATGCTAGGCCTGCCTTGCCTGATCAATTTTTTCTTTTCTTTTCTTATTTGTTTAGTTATGTTGGGTAAAATTATTTCAGAGTCTTTGAAAAATGAAATTTCAAAAAAATTATTACTTTATTCTTTAAATATTCTTAATAAATTTACAGTTAATTATTATTTATTTTACTCATATGATTTTATAAAAAAAACTTAATTAAGGAATTCTTTTTGTGTGGAATATGTTATTACAATAAATTATACTTTTTTATTTGATAATAAAAGAATAAAGAGAAATAAATAGTTTTTTTAACAAATTAAATCCGTGAGATAGGTAAGGAAAAATTAATAAAAACTAAATTTGGATTAAGTATATGAAATTAATTGAAAAAATATTTTTTTTCCTATAATGGAATGTATTTTTTGGGGTGTAAAGAAGAAGAAACTTTCATTATTATGCCTTTTTCTTTGTACTACTTTTATTAACAAGAACGAAATAGTAATACTACTACTGAAACCTTCACTTCTATGTTAAGTTTTGTATGAACCCAAGATTCCACGCCAAGACCCTAACACCAGACGTTAGTTATTTAGCAAAAGAAAAATCAAGTCGATCTGTGATCTTTGACAATTCATATTTGACAATTCAAATTAAAATAAAAATAAATGGGTCAAAATTAAATTATAACAAAAATATTTGACAATTCATATTTTTTTAAAAAAATGAGTGAATAAAATAAGTTTATGAGATTGTACTAAGAGTTACAAAAGGAACTTAATTAATTTGAATTTATTTAAATTTTAAATGGATTTAATTAAGAAAATAAATATAAAATTTTGTAAACAGACCCATGGCAACCCATGATTCACTTGCTAGTGTGCTCTTATTCAATTTCTAGTCGTTAACCTGTTTGGTAATTGCAAAGCCATAGAAATATTATTTGCTGTGCTGTGACTAACATCAAAGTTTCAAATAACACATAAATTGGGATTTTAATTGAATTTAATCAGCCATATAAATGGAAAAATATTAAGTCTGATCAGCAACACGACTTATAAAGGGCTTGATCTCCGAGAGAAAATGGAGAGCATGGTAATCATCATCTAGGGGTCATATCAAAACATTGCACTAACAGACATGTCAAATTTAGAAAAAAAACCCACACATGTTCAGATCCTAGCACTTTCATGTATATTGTCTACGATACTGGAAATAAACTATACAGGGAAGGTTTCTTCGTAATGAATTTCATCCATTGCAGAGTGTATCAGAACTCGAAGTACTAATGTAATTGGTTCCTGTAGTGGGGGGTGGAGGAGGGCGAGACAGTACTTAATCAGTTGATCTTCCCCATGGGAAGTTTCTGCTGCTTGCAAAGTTCATCCATGTCCTTGTCTTGTCCACTGCAATCAAGAAAGGATTCTCGAAGTTCCATAAAGATAGCGTTGGCAGAAGGACCTAGGAGAAGTGGTGTAGATAAACATAGTCAACAGATTCAACCCAAATACTTAAACTATTAGATAATATTTTAAAATGATTTTATATATACTACTCTCAAATAAAAGTCCTTGTCTAATTGTTTGGTCATTAAGTTTTTTATAATTAACATGCCAAATAGTTTATTTAATTCAAAAATTTAAACCAATTCAATAAAAAAGTTAAAAAAATTATTAGATGAGGTTTAAGAATTCTTTATGTTAGTTACTAGACTGTAACCAAAACTAAGTTAAAAAAAGAAGTAGATTAGAGCAGAAAAAGAAAGCATTATGAATGCAGTCTCATCCAGTCGGAATAGTAGGAAAACTTTCAAATTTAACAGAATCAATAGCCGCCGGGAAGAAGATTGAAAGGGAAAGAAGCTACCTGGATAAAATCTAAGAATTTGATGGTACTACTCACATGCTTGAAGATTGTTGCAGACAGCCAATCCTTTAGTCCATTGACACTTCACTGCTTGGATAACTGGGGAAAGAAAAGTAGCATGTTAGGCCAAACACATAACTGGGGAAAGAAAAAACCCCAAATTTGATATAGCTTATCAACAAGTTTTAAGTTCATGATTTGATTTCTGGAGCACATAACTTTCTCTGACTTAAACTCCATGAAGCAAAAGGAGAAGGTGAGGAGCTATTAAAACTGAAGATCAAAATTAAAAGACTTACACTGAATTTTTCTGTCAATACACAGAACCATTTGCTGCAACTGATCCAGCCTGTTCCATCGTCTACAGTGAGAGCAACATCAACAACCTTTTCAGCTTTAACAAACACCATGTTCATGACCATAACCTACATCAACAAGATGTCAAAACTTCTTAGAAAAATAAGCTAAACAATTACAATCTTTATTTCAACAGAAACCGACAAGATCAATAAAACTACAACAAACGATCTAAAAGAAGTAATAATGATTAACAGAAAAGGAGGCGATTTGAGATGGAGACATGAGAGGCCTTACTTTTAGAAGAGGAGTGGTATTTTGCGGTAAGCTAAGTTGATTGAGAGGTATGAATCCATCACCACAGGCAGCGGAGGAGATTCCGAACTGGATGCTGGAGGAGTTAGAGACAGAATTGTTTGAAAAAATATATGAGAGACGTGTGGAGAGAGAGATAGAGGGCATTTTACATGTTAATAGAGTGTTCACAACTAAACAAGAGATTTTCCACTGAAATTAAATAGCCACCTTGCAAGAAAGCAGCTCCTAGAATCTAAAGGACAAACTGTAGCTCCAAAAATAGTCGAAACAAAGATGCTAAGCAATATCAAACTCCTAATGGAACACAAACTGGATATTATCAAACTTTTAAAATTTTGAATGCCACATATATTTAAAACTTATAAATTGAATATGATCAAACTTTAACATCGAGGCACTGATATTAGCTTTGAAGGCAAATTTTTTACTAAAAGACACGCACCATCATAAATAATCAAATTTCCTATCTTAACTATATCATAATGCTCGTTCACCCTCTTAAAACTACTGCACCATTTCTTCACTACGTACCAATATAAGAAATAAAATAACAAAAATGTCATGTTTTACATTTCTCACTTGATTTGTTTGATTTTCCCACACTTTCTGGGCGACCAATCACGTAGCTAGAGGATAAATTATTTAAAAAAGAGAAGCCTTTGCTTGTTTAGTTAGCGGAATATTAAATTAATTCACGTGACGTTATTGAATTAAGATAAATTCATTTACTGATAGTATATATTTTAAAAAGAGGAGCTTTTACTTGTTCAGAAAATTAAAGATATGAAGTAACTTAAGTTGAATTAGTCTAATACCTCGTTTGATGTGGGTGTCTGATGTTTGCTTGATCCATAACACACAGGAGTGCACTGATGACATTGTTGGGAATTTCGACCGGTGATGTTCTGATACTTGCTCATAGGAGGGCCAAACACACTGATACAATATTTAACGTGGTTCGGCAAAATCACCTACATCCACGGGAGAAGTCAATATATCTAGAGATAGAGAAAGAATACAAAACAAATACATGGAGGAAGAGGATTACACCCTCTCATACTCAACTCTCAACTCTCTTTGCTGCCATTGCAGCTCTCTCTTCCTCTCTACTCTCTTCACATTTTCATAATTCTCTTCACTCATTTTGCTCTCTTGCATATGCCTCTATTTATAGGCATTCATGGAGGCTTTTCTTCAACAAAGGTGGCTGCCAACTCCAACTCTTCTTCAACAATGGTGGCTGCCAACCTTTGACATGTTGGATGAGTGCACATGGTTGGTGCAATAGCAAATGGTTGTTGCACATTAATGGCAACCAACCTAACAGACATCTGAGTCTGAATCAAAGTATTACTATGCAGGTTCAACCAGAGAAAATACTCATGATCCACCAACAGGCAAATGCAACATGTGCACATAATGCTTATCGGTCATCAACTCCAGACATCTTATTAATATTTCAAGATTTATCAGCAGTCAGATCAATACCTGCAATTTGTTTATGTAAATGGGATGTATACGTAAGGCATGAAGTGTGAACAAGTTTCCGCAAAGTTTGTCACAGGCCTGCAAACTCCCGTAAATAAAAGTATCGTAAGAATAAATGGTAGAGTGACAACGATAACTAGCCAATTAAATAAGAAATCTCTTCAGAAGATTTACTTTCTGTACACATACTTTCATTGACTAAACTCCATAAAGCAAGAACATAAAGAAGTTAAGAGATAACTCCAGGACTACACCTGAAACAGCCTGTTCCATCCTCTAGAAGGAAACCATCAATGATTACCTTTTCAGATTTATCAAGCCCCAGTCCAGCCCCAGTACCCAAAAAGGATGTCGGGGGGGGTGGTGGGGGGGGGAGGAAGAAAACACCATGAATGAAAAGTATCGATCAGAACATGGTATTACATGAAAACAATGTTAGTCTCTAGGTAGCTCCAATACCATCATTAGTGCCTTCTATTAGTTTTTGTTTTTCAGTTCTTTTTTAAAAAGAAAAAAGAAAGAAAGAAAGATTTTAGTATGGAAGCAAAATGGATTTTTCCTCGAACAAAATAATCATAAAAGAAGAAATAAAAAATTTGAGGATAGATTAGGAGATTAGGGTTTGTCATTTTGGTGGGGGGCTGAACCCCTCTCCCTATTAATTGAAAAGAAGTTGCGAATATTCAAAGAAAAACAATAATAATTTGATCAGATGAGGGTTGTGGATGATAGAACAAATAGATAGATAGAATATTTATGGAGTACGTAGTACTAACAGAAATAAATTCAGGAAGAAAGGAAGAGGTTAAAAACCTTTGTATTTAAGAATAATATCCTTACGGTGAAAATGCTCTAACCGTCAAATATAAAAAGATAGATTTATGGATAATAAAATAAATAAATACAGAAAGAGAAAGAGTATGGAGTAGTAGTAATAATAAAGAAAGGAAGGAAGGAAAAGGTTAAATACCTTCCATAATTGTAAGGATGTATGCTCCATGAAAATGCTCTCTAATACTCGTTAGCATATCAATCCTTCACCATTTAAATAGCGACCCTCCTTTTGAATTTAGTCGCCATATATGGAGTGTGTTCAATGTTAGGAAGCCACTCCTCCACGCTCTCCTTTCCCCATCCTCTAGTTCTTTCACTCAACTCTTCACTGCAGTAATTGATTATTAACAGTTGCAAAGAGGGAAAGTAGGGTATCCTCCCTTGAGATTGAGATTGAGATAACGACTTTAATTCTCTGCAACCGCTGATATATAATTTCTGAAGAGAAGGCATCCCCTGATCAGGCAGTGGCAGAGACTTCAATCTTGGACATTCAGAGATCGATAGCTGTTGAAGAGAAGAGAGATTTTGCAGCCCTACTTCCGGAAGAGATTCCATGTCATCAATTGAACCAATATCGAGTTCCTTCAATTTGGAGAGTGGACGGATAAATGAAGAAGAAGAAGAAGAAGAAGAAGAAGAGACCGCTGATTTCATCTTCATTGTCTGCTGTAATGGCATTGAACTGGTTTTGGTCAAAGAAAGACCTTCATCGAGAGTTGGAAACAACGGCATTGAAGTCAGATTTGGACACCATCTTATTTTTAAGGAAGAAAGACGTGGAAAAAAGATACGATCATCATTCATCTTATCTCTACTCCATCTCTTCCACCATCCCTTCAGTCTAAAACAACCATAGATAACAAGTGTCTTTAAGGATGGGAAAAACGTCGACACTCCTTTTCCTCCAACCCCCTCACTATCTATGTACTCCAAATCATTCATACTCCCAAAATACAAATCTTCAAGAGAAGGGATTCCATCTAAGGGAGGGATATGCTCAAGTCTTCTACAATTTTCTAGATGAATCCTTACCAGATTTGAGAGATGTGAAAGCCAACTTGGAAACCTCATACCTCCATATTCTATCACTCTCAACTCTCCACTGCAGTAAGATATTCCTAATTCTTGCGAAGAGGTAAGGTCGGGTTTCCCTTGAGATTCAGATTGAGATGGACACTCAAATTCTCTGCAATCGCTGATATTTAATTTCTGAAGAGAATGCATCCCCTGATCAGGCAGTGGCAGAGACTTCAATTTTGAGCATCCCCTAATTGATAGCTGTTGAAGAGAACAGAGATTTTGCAGCCCTGCTTCCGGAAGAGATTCCATGTTATCAATGAAATAAATATATAGATTCTTCAATTTGGAGAGAGGACGGGTAAATGAAGAAGAAGAAGAGACTGCTGATGTCATCTCCATTGTCTGCTGTAATGGCATTGAACTAGCTCTCAACAAAATGAGAATTGATAGAGTTGGAAACAACGGCATTGAAGTCAAGTTTGGACAATCAACAATGCTCAAGGAACAAAGACATGGAAAACGGAGCATTATCAACTTATCTCTACTCTTCTTCCACCATCCCTTTAGATTAGGACAATTAGAGATGCTAAGTTTCTTCAAAGATGGGAAAATTTTCGAAACTCCTCTTCCTCCATTCCCCTCGCTATCCATGTACTCCAAATTAGTCAAATACATAATCAACAATTCTCTAAGAGAAGGGATTTTATCCAAGGGAGGGATATGCTTAAGTCTTGGACAACATATTATATGAATCCTTACAAGATTTGATTGAAGTGAAAGCCAATGTGGAAACCTGATGGCTGTATAGCCTCTCACTTTCAACTCTTGAAGACTCGAGTTTGGCTGGAGGCTTCGCAACATTTTATCATACAAATCAATATCTGAAATATTATCCGCCCCTAAATCCCACTTTAAAGTCAACGAATGAAGATATTTTTTCTTTATCAATTTAGCTCCTTTAAATTCTGATATACAAGAACTACCTTCATATCCCTTGACTATTATTTCTAGCCTCCCTCTCAATTTATTTAACCTCCTCAACTCATCCAATCCACCTATCATCACAGATTTAGAACTCCTATTTTTAGCAGCCACAAAACATGACAATGTTTGTAGACTAGTTAATTTCCCAATCCCACGAGGCATATACTCTAAATTTTCACATAAATCATCATCAAGATAGCAACCAACATCAAGATGCCTCATATTAATTAGCTTACCAATATCCCTAGGTAGTTCCTTAAGTTTCCTACAACCATTAAGCTTGAGCACTTGCAAATTTACCAGATTGGTGATAGAATTAGAAAGCACCTCCATCTCATTATTCGAAAGATCAAGATATTTCAGATGCTTGAGCTTTTGAATGAGAGGTGGCACTTCCTTCATTCCCAAATGACTCAAAACAAGCACACGTAAATGCCTAAAGTCTCGACAAATAGACTTCCATGACCCCTCATCCCATTTGCCACCTTGCAATAATACAAGTGTTCTTAGACGATTTGCAAAAGGCAAAGACAAATCCAATTCCGTGTCAAATGACACGTGCCGAGTCAATCCACTAATACTATTTCCTCCACGCTCCACTTTGATGCTCTGAAAACCAGCGACATGGATTGCAAGATCATGCATAAAATCATGCATTTTGCAACTTTCTATGTTACCTAAACCATCCTTTTTAACTTCGTGAAAGAAGGACCTCCACAGTAAACTCTTAAAGCACTTGAGACCAACAATCTCAATACCCCTACGACCTGAATTTGAAGAGCTAATAACAAACCCTTGTGCAATCCAAAGTCGAATCAATGATTTGACATCTATCTCATGACCTTTCGGGAATAAGCTACAGTATGCAAAGCAATGCTTCAAATATGATGGAAGAGGATCGTAGCTTAACTTAAGGGTATCTATGATGTTATCATCTTGGACCCTATTTGGAAGTTCTTGTTGGATAAAGGGCAACCACTGGGCTCTATCTTTCGAAGACATTAACCTCGCAATTGCCTTTATGACCAAAGGAACTCCACAACACCTCTCTACAATCTCTTTTCTAATTCTCTCATCTACAGGACCCGACTCCTGGCCTTGAGGAAATGCCTTTCTTCTAAACAGATCCCATGAATCATCTACAGACAGACCTTTTAAAACATGTGGTTCTATTGTGCTTGTTAATTTGGCAATTACATGAGAACGTGTAGTTACCACAATCTTACTTCCTACTGCATCACATGGTAATAACTCCTCTAAAAACTTCCATTTTTCACGATCATCCTTACCATCCCACACATCATCTAACACCAGAAGATACTTCTTTTTTTCTATTTTCCCTTCAAGCTTTTCTTTCAGACTCTCTAACTGATCATCAGAATTTCCAACACCTGCAGCCCCTTTGATAATCTTTCTAACATCTAAGCTGCCTGAGACACTTACCCAGAGTCTCACACCAAAGTGCGCCTTAACTTGCTCATCATTGAAAACATGTTGAGCTAGTGTGGTCTTCCCCAATCCTCCCATTCCAACTACGGAGATGACAGAAACATTATGTTCATAGTTGGAATTCATCAGAAACGTTTTAACTGTCTTTTTGTCACTCTCTCTCCCAACTATTATTTCAGGTTCAGATGAGGTAGTTTGCTCCCTGGCAGTGGTCAAAGAAGCTCTCTCCTCATCACGAACCTCAAAGTGGAATATTTTACTGTCAGTTTCAATGTTATCTAGTCTCTCTCTAAGTGCCTTAACTGTATGACCCATCCGTAAACCATACACAAATTGGTTTGATCTTGAGAATAAAAGGCGTACCTCCCTCGATACTCTTTTCCCAGGCATCAATTGTTTCCGCACAACTTGTGTTGAGAAATCGTCCAGCAAATCCTCTGCATCATATACAGCTTCCCGCAGCTTCTTGAGCCAGACTTCGATTTGATGGTTCTGTTTTTGTGCCTGCTCCTCAGCGTCTTGAATCACAGCCTTAATACTGGTAACTGTGTCATTGAGCTTCCGCAATTGATCTTTGAGCCCCCACCATAGTGCAACCTCCTGAGCAGTTAGGGTACCTAATGTCTTTATTATTTCCTCCGCAATATTGAAGAGCACACCTTCAGCCATTTTTTCTTTGCAGGTTCAAAAAGGAGTGGATGGAGGAGGGAAACACAAAAAAAGAAAGGGGAAAAACTTAAAGAAAAGGTGTGTGGCTGGGTGGTGGTTGAGGTGTTTCTTGGTTTGAGCGGTGATGATCGGTTTGAATGCTAGAAGAATGTTTATGTTGCTGTGAAGAGCGTGCGGAAAACCACAGGCTTCCGGGCTTCATTTATAGAGATAATAAGATTCGAAAATCTCCAAAACACTCAAAGCTATTAGAGATTCTGCAAGTACTCTCATGATCTCGAAATCCTTTGACCAATCTGCACTCAACAGGCAGGGATTTCTTTTCTTTGCTTTTAAAAAGCAATCTCTGTTCCTTGCTTCATTTTAAATGTCACACCAATAGACTTGCATGACTTAGCCTTGCTAAAAAGGGAAAGACAAGTCCAAGGGATGTTTCAAGTAGCAAAGCCAAATTATTTTTTGACATGAGATTTCAATTATAATTTACCTTTCAAAATGAGATTTACGATGTGAATGTCTTTAGTAATGGGTATGCCTTACGTAATGAAAAAACGTTTACTTCCCAAGGATTGGATGCTGCTTTCATCTACGTAAAGATAAGACTAAAGCTATAAGAAGGCCTGCATGCACTCTCTCGATCTCCAAATCCCTCAACTGGAAGTACTGCTTCTATTGCTTTGCTTTAATGAATCACTCGGGCCAGAAACCTTGTTCCTCACACTTTATTCAAAGAATGACATCAATCCAGGGTTATAGCTATATATACAGTACTCATGAAGGAAAGATGAGGGCCAAATTAAAATGTTAAATGGAGATTTTCAGTTATGTGGAAGCAATAATGGAAGATGGCTTCCCTTTTTCAAAGGCTTATGCGTACTTGGGATCCTACAGTATCGGTCACTGAAACCAATCAGAAGAAGCAAGTGCCTTTAATGGAGGGTATGCCCCTAGCTAGTAGTAGTGAATATAAAGACTTCTTCTTGGTGCTTTAATCATAGGTAAAGGAAATTCCGAACTATCCCCAAACACTCAAAGCTATCAAAAACTCCAAATCAATCTCTTCATTGGCTACGAGTTCCTTTCTTTGCTTTAAAAAAATCAATCATTACAAGAACCTTCATTTGTTCTTTTGGAGTTCAGGGCTCCTCGTCATTTCATGGACTCTCAGAAATCATAAAGCTGTAGCTAGAAACAAGTTCAATAGCTACATATTAATGGCATATGAGCTTTAAAGGGTTTGTTAATGAAGTTTAATCATTTTCTAGGTTCAAATATTAGAATCGAGATGTTTCACGTAGGGAAGCCACAATCTTTCAAAACGTACATTGCTATTATATCCAGCCATAATTAACTTTCAATTATGTTTAGGATAATATTAAGATGTTTAGTACGGCGCTAATGCCTTTAGTTAAAGGATAGGCCACCAAAGCTATAAATCATGGCTCTTCTCTTTTTCATGGGGGCTTCGGCATGCATAGGGTGCTTCATTATCCGTTCACTGCAACAAATCAAAAGAAGCAAAATGCATGCCTAGTAGTAGTGAATATGGAACCCCCCCTAACTATATGATCAAGGAGATTTCGATGCGCTTTACTCAGGTAAAATAAATTCCAAACTGTCCCAAACACTCCAGGTATCAAAAACTCCAAATCGATCCTTTGATTCGACTGCACTCAACTAGAACTTTCTTCGCTTTAAAAAATCGATCAGACCATAATCTTTGTTCTTTTAGAGTTCCAAGCAGCACGTCATTTAGGAATCTAAACAAAACATCAAAATGTTGTGAAATTCTATATATGATTTAGCGATAACACACATGTCCAGATCCCTGCACTTAAGATGTTAACATGGAAACAAATAAATATCTACAGGCTGTTCTGTTAATATTCAAAAGAAGGAACAAAATAACTCGCAACAGCATTGCAGGCTGGGTAGCATTCAAAAATACTGTGAACTTCATCAGGTTGCACTGTAGTTGAAACTCGTCAACTGTAGAGTATATTAAACCTCCATCTTCAAGTGATCTAATAGATTCCCTGGCCAAGACAAAAGAAAACGTCGATAAAAGGAATTACTTGATAATGTAGGGTGAGAAGAGGAGATAGAGAGAGAGGTTACTTGATCTTCTCCATGGGAAGTTTCAGCTGTTGGCAAAGTTCATCCATGTGCATCCCTTTTTCCTGTCCACTGCAACCAAGAACCCCTCTCAACATTCGTAAAGGAACTAAACGTAAGTTCAGTATTAGCAGATTAAAATTTCATAGCAGTCAGAATAGTGTTTGCAAAACATGGCTACCTATTCCAAGCAACGCTGCAAAACTTAATTGTCCATAGCAGTCAGGACACACAACCAAAAGAAAAAAATTAATGGACTGCCCAAAAAACTAAAAACAAGTTCAGTAGCAACAGATTAAAACAGAAAAAGAGCATCTGTCCATGACATGGGGCAGGGTGATGTTTTAAACAAATAGAACTCCAATGAAACAAGAAACATGTCACGACCCGAATCCCGGATTCATAACCGGCACATAGTCAAGGTTCCCTTTCAAGATTCCATACCTATGCGAACCCAAACTTACACACAAATTTATCCTAACTCAATCAGAGTTCACAAATTTATCTTAACTCAATCAGAGTTCAACACAGCATGAATAATAAAATCAACTTCATAATATAATTGAATTATTTTAATACAAGAATTAATATAATTTCATAGTTTGGAGCACTAATTAAACATAAAGGAACATGTACGGATTACAACCAAAAGAGCAAGTTCTGAAGGTCCAACAAAAGTGATTTGCTATCATGCTATAAACCTGAAAATGATAAATAATGAGAGTGTGAGTTCAACAACTCAGTGAGTAGATAACGTTCAATATACACACACGAGATGGTACAACAATGAGAAATATATATACAAGTATGGCTTTAGGTTCTTATAAAAAGGTTTCTCAAATAGGCCATAACAAGAATATTATATGGTAAAATTCATCAGAAAATCAAAATGTAATGAGCATGAGGCTCCATACTGTGGGATGATCAGTCCACACAGGTTGGTGACTCCCCCGACCAACTAGGGTTCAGATACGATGTGCACAAAGACTAACACTACCCTGTTAGCATGGATATTCTGACTGACATACCATAGGTTCATAATCATAGTCAAATAGACATATTAATATCTCAAGGCTCAACTCATGACATCAATCAAATAAGGAGCTATCAATTTAGAAGTCAATCCAAAATACATACTGGTTCATATCAAGAATTCGGATTCAACAAATGACCATGCTTATCATAACAAGGATAATAGTCAACATATATATTATCAAGAAGCATGATCCAATTCATATTAACAAATCAAATATTTATAATATTTCTCATGCATATAGAAAATTATCCACTCACTTGACTCGAAGCCAACAAAAGTCAAAAGCAGACACCGAAGAAAATCCTACTGACATCCCGCTGGTAGAATATCAAGATTATCTGAATATAAAGGAGACATATTCAAGAATGACTCAAAAGAATATATAACATATTTATTACACTTATTTAAGGATGTATTCCATAACCCTATATGTTTTTGAACTAACTAGTTATTTTCCAAAAAACTCAAAAATTAACGGTTTTCTCAAAATTTAATCCATAATAAAACAAATAATAAAATTGGTAATACTTCACTAACTAACCCTCAATTATTCATCAAACCCATCTGCAAAAGCTAATATTACAGCTAGGGACTAATCTATAATTTATCATATTTTTAAAGGTCAAATTGTAATTTTATCCATTTGGAGGACCAAACTAAAATTATCATAAATCCATGACTATACTGAAATTCTGACCATAATCAATCCTCATTTCTGTCCAGATCATCTCATTATACTCTAGGGACCATTCTGGAATTTTATCAAATTTTTAGGGTTAAATGGTAATTTTTGTCAAATTGAAGGACCAAATTGAAAGTGTTAAAATTTTATAACTATACAGGAATTCTGCCCATAATTTATCTTTTATTCTGTTCAGAATCTCGGAATAGGCTCCAGGGACCAATCTGTAAATTTTCCAAAATTTGGGGACTAAACTGTAATTTTCCAAAATTGAGGGACCACATTGAATTTTCATCATCTTCAACCTCAAACCCAGAATTTTCACAGATTACCTACTGTTATCCCCTGATTTCTAACACAAATTCACCATTCAAACAAAATCATAACTCAAAATCATCATTTTTATCTACAATCTCTCAAATTCAACTTAACAATCCATTACCCACAACAATTAACCCATAACATTCAACTTAATTCATCAATTAACCCAAAAGACAAATTTTCAAAACCCTAACATTTATCAAAACCAAAATTAAAGCTTAATTAACACATATTTATACATAATCTTACCTTTAAACTTATTTCCTTCAACTTCTTTCTATTTTCCTTCTAATTTCTCTCTTTTCTCTTCTTCTTCTTTCTCTCTTCTCTTTCCTGCCGATTCTCCCTCAAATTTCCAGATCTCTCGTTTTTTATTTTTTTTAACTTATTTATATTTATCATGTATTTAATCAATTACTACTATAACCCTCATTTAATTTATTCCTACGTATAAGCTTCAGGAGGTTTCTAGCCTTTTCCTATCCCTTTATATTCAAAACATTACAGAACAATTCCAAATTAGCAGTCTACAGCTGGAGGAAAAAAGAGAATGAGAACCGTATAGAACTTGATATATTAAACACAAGCAAAGGTACTACGATGGCACTAAGAAAGGGCAAGGCAACCACAGACACCATGAGATATCTAGGAGAAAGAAGTTGCATGGAGTAAAGAGTTTAAATGTTCAACTCACGTGCTTGAACACTGTTGCAGACGATCAAGGACCAATTGATTACAATCCTTTAGCCCATCAACATCAAATTGCTTGGACATTGAAAAAAAAGTTTATTTGAAGCTGTCCCATACAGGTTTGATGTGAATGTCTGACCATTCCGCACAGAGTGTTCATTGATGATTCAACCATACGAGGCTTAAATGAGAAGATTTTAATTTTTGATATTTTGAGTTGATGAATAGATATGTGATTATTCCGATGATATTATTGAAATGTTTCTAGGTTGAACCACTTAAAAATTAAAGATTTTGAATAAAAATAGTTTTGCTTTTATTTTCTAATTACCATAATGATGATCAAAATGTAGACTCGAAGGTA